ATCAAGATTCACAGTGCACTGTGGACCACTGGACCTTGGTGCATATGTATGTGTCTTTATGTTATGAGTTTTTTGTATTTTATGTTATGAAATTTTGTATCTTAAGAGTATGACTTCTGTATTTGAAACAAATTAGTAATTCTGTTTTATGTTATGAATTTGTGTCTTGTGTTGTGAAATGATATGCCTATGTACGCGAACTATGTACCTAAATCATATTTAAAAAATAAGTAAATATATAACATGTATATGTATCTTGTGTTATAAAATTCTATACTTTAAAAATATAAATTCTAAATCTCGTCGTTTAAATTTAAGATTCATAATACTATGTGCCCCTAGTCCATGATATAAATTTACTGTAATTTTTGGCAGTCGTTATATCATGGATCGTGGTGCACATGGACCGCGGTCAAAACGGTACTGTTTCTTTAAATAAAGAAATGGCGCGCCGTTTGTGTTAACGGACTGACACAGCAGTATATTTAAAATGACACTGCCTCACGTATTATTTTATATTATCAAATGAAACTACAGTTATATCAAAATGATACTGTAGTTGTGGTGAAATGAAACTACATTGTATATAAAATGAAACTGAATAACATTTCACATATTTGAGTGTATATTGTACAATGAAGCTATAATTATATCAAAATGATCATGTAGTTATGTTTTAATAAAACCATAGTTTATATAAAATAAAATTAAATAACATTTTCACATAATTGAGTCTATAAATATCGAATAAAACTGTAGTTATATCGAAATGAAACTGTAGTTGTGTTGAACTGAAACTGCAGTTATATCGAAATGAAATTGTAGTTGTGTTGAACTGAAACTGCATTATATACAAAATGAAACTGAATAACAGAGTTACATTTTGTGAAAAAGTGGAGAACAACGGAAAACAAATGTTGTTTCTTTTCATTAATCAAAACGACATCATTTTGATGCGCGATACATAATCAATTATGCACCGCGGTGCACGATATAATTTGTCAATTTTTGGTGGCGCGCATTCGTGCAAATGTAATGAAATCAATTCAAAAACCCAAATGCAAGTTGCAACTGAAGGGCCCACATATGGCCCATTTATGATAAAATTGAGTACTCCTCACGTGTCTGTGCTGACAGTCGTGTCAGAGGTCCAAATCTGAAATCCCACTCACTAAACCTTTTACAAATGACAATTTTACCTAAATCCTCCTTATTTCACAAGAGCTCTTATAATTGAGTGACATAATTGTAATTCCTTATATGAGAGGTCTTAGATTCAAATTTTAATGGGGCATTAACTTTTGACTCAATAAGGATCTATTTTTATTGTCAAGAAAAGAAAGAAGCATGAAGCAAAATATTATAAGATGTGCTCCAAAAAGATTCAAACCTATAATCTCAATCATAATAACAACACAAGTTCCAAACCACTAAGCTATCATACATCTTATGTACAAGAAGATAGAATACTTTATTTAGCTGTGTGGAGATCGTTGACATCCAAGTAGTGGGAGACATATTTACGACCAAGATTGAAAACAAGCCGATGTCGTATATTTGCCAAGCATCCGGAAGGCCCTCTACACTATATAAGGCACTCTTCCCTTCCCTTAGAAATCATCCTTCTGTTGCTTGTGCTTGTTGTTATTCCAATCTTCAACCCTTATACCATGTTCGATCTCCCACCTTATAATATTATTTTAGCCCATAGGGCTAGCTTGCTTGTATTATTTATTATTTGGACCACCGTTCTGAGTCAGTATCTCAGACTTTGTACATGTTCTTTTTGGTCTAGTCTCTCGAACAATAATACTATTATTTTCATACCCCTATTATGTACTTCTATACCTTATTTATGGTTGACTTGGTCCCTACAAAACCATCAAAGAAAAAAAAAGTTGAGTCAACTAACGAATAGTAATTAAAATACATAAAATGATGAAGTAGTATATTATTATATGAAATTCATTCTTTTTATTTGTTTTTTTTTATTTTATACTAACATGTCATATTTTAATTTATGAATAAGGGTAAAAAATCACTTAATGTTACATGAAAATGCACTTAGGTCATTGAAAAAAAAAATACAATTGACCTATCAAACAAGATTAAATTGTCTCATTGAAACCAAATAACTGGTTATCTGATTAATAACCAAAATTTCTGAGAAAATTAAATATGAAATCACCGAAAGGAATTTGATGAAATCAGTTAATTATAGTACAAGAAAATATGTTTAATTTTGTGATTTTAAAATTGAGAAATAATGGATTTTTTAGATTGATCAATCTTGACCGAAGGAATATGAAAGGATGCAATATTTTCAATATCAGATTTTATTGAAAATAGAGTAATTAAACTGATATACTTTTTCACAAAGACTATATGGTCTAATGGTACTCAGTTGAATTTTCATTTAAAAGGTTGTGAGTTTAAGCCTCAGTAGAGGCGGAGGCGTTATTGGCTCTTTATGTTTCAGTAGGTAGATAGTCAGTAGCATTTAAAAAACTCATATATTTAAGTCTCTAACTATTCCATATAACACATTTTTAGCCCAAATAATCTAAGCCCCTTACTACCAGGATTCGAACCTATTTTCAACTTAAATCAATAAATAGTGGATACATTTTTGAAATATTAACTTTTATAAAATATTTGATAATCTTGCATTGATATAAACAATTCGCGCAATGCACGTGTGATAACTACTTAAATTAATAAATAGTGGATGTGGTTCAATTCTTTTTCAACTTAAATTAAGAGTTAATACCACAAATGGTCCTCTGACTATTGAGGTAGTACTCATTTTAGTCCTTTGACAATTCAACATGCTCGGCAGAGGTTGTGGAAGCTCGTGCCGTCCTTGTTGGGCTCAAGGTCGCGTGGAGTTTAACCTTCTCTAACATCGTGATCCAGAGTGATTCTGTCAACGTGGTCAAGTATATTAATGACCCTCTTTTTTACGCCAAAGGTGGTGGAACCCTGTGTAATGTTATTACTGATGAGTGTAAAACTTGGATCATGAAGAGCTGGAATGTCAAATGCTGTCATATTTTGCGGGAACAAAATCAAGCTTGCGAAGAATTGTGCTCCGAACAACGAGTTGGCCATTTTGTATTTTTGCCCCAATGACGAGCTCGTGGAGTGTGTATGCAAGGATAGTCTAGGAGTTCCTTTTGTCCGCGGTGACTAGTTTGTTTTGTTCCCGGGGTTCCACCCTTCCACTGTGTTCAAAAAACTTTCAATTCAACCAAAACACATACCTTGACTTTTATTTTTGACCACAAATAGTCGTATGTTAGTCTTTTCGTTAAGTGAAGACATTAACTAGATCAGACGCGCTGCATATTTTGGTAACCACCACTTTATTTTAATCATATACTTTCTCAACCTACTGAAACACAAAGAACCAATAACGCCTCCATTGAGGCTCGAACTCATAACCTTCCAAATAAAAGTCCAACCCGGGTACCATTAGACCACATACTCTTGGTTTTTGACTTTGTTATGATGTCAAGATTTCATGTATTTAGCTTGATTACTGTGTTCAATTGCTTTTTAAAAAAATAGATATAAGGTAGTCATCAATAGAAATTCTCTAGCTAATTAATAGTTTTTGTACGTTAAGTCTTCTGGGAGTTTAAAAATATTCGACAGTTCTACTGAAATTTAACTATGGTCTATTGGTCTTGGCTTAGGTATATCTCTATTGAATATCATATTTCATTTGCTCCACATACATATATGCCTCTATTGATAAACTCCACTTATAATCTAGAAGCATGTCGGTCACCCTTATCTATCCAAAACTCGCAGATCTATCAAAGCAGCTTTCAACAAAAACCAAAAAACTTCAAAGAAACGTAATAGAGTTTATGGCTTCCAAGAACAACCAGCATAACCTTTGGTTTCATGATATGTTTGACTGCCCAATTCATGGCATCTCGGCTCCATTTGTTTCACCTTGCATCCACGATTGTACTGATACTTTTTGCTTTTGCTGTTTTAAATGGACTTGTTAACTATTTTATTTTTTTTCTTTGATTTGATGATAATACCCATAAATTTAACACTCACTTAACAGAAAGATTAACGGAGGACTATTTGTGGTAAAAAAAAAAAAAAATCGAGATATGTGTTTTGATCGAATGGAAAGTTGGGGACTAAAAGGAGTACTACCACAATAGTCAGAGGACCATTTGTGGTATTAACTCTTATTTTTTTCTTTAATTTGACAATAATACCCTTAAATTTGACACTCATTTAACGGAAAGACTAACAAATGACTAGTTGTGGCCAAAAATGAAAATCGAGGTATGTATTTTAGTCAAATTGAAAGTTGAGAACTAAAAGGAGTACTACCCAATAGTCAGAGTACCATTTGTGGTGCGAATTTTCCTTGTTCGTTTAAAGCGGAAAGCATCCTTTGGAGATCTTCCAAGGAAGACTCCCGGTCTCTTAGAGTACCATTTGTGGTATTAACTCTTAAATTAATAAATAGTGGATGTGGATTTTTTTTTTTTTATTCATTTTGAAGAAAGAGTCAACAATACTTCTAATGAGACTCGATCTCATGATCTCCCATATAATAAAGGTACATGCTATCTGAGCACAATGTATTGGGTTTTCTCAATTTCATAATTTAATTAGTATTATAATAACATAACATTATTATGCTTCTAAAAAAAAATTATGTTTCTAAAACCCTAATTTCATGTCAAACTAACCTTTACACGTAATTAGCGAAAAAACATGCTGATTTCGCGCAAATGTTTCACTAATCCCGCCCTACTTTTACCTTTTTCGATTTCTTGAACCGAAAGGACTACTATAAAAAGAAAACTGGTATTTTTATCAAAAGGTTGTACTAAAATTTGTAAATATTATAATCTTTAATTCATTATTCGTGGAATAAATATGTTATAAATTTTGCGTTCTTTTATTTTTAAAAGAAAAAAAAAAAAAACAGAAAAAGCCCATTTCACTTTTTCACATTTAAATTTAAATAAATTAAAATTTTTACAATTTCTTCAGAGGAATCTTTGGCTTCAACTTAAAAAAGAAAAAAAAAAACAGTTAAAAACAAAATAACTAACAGTGAAAACCCATTACAGATCCATCACTTACAGAAACAGACACTGTGCAATCTGCTTTAGCCTCCACGTGGTGGGTAAAAAAGTGGAGCATCCGAACCCGACCCGCCATCTCCAGTCTCGACTCGATCTCCAACGACGGCCCGACCCGGAACCCGCTGAGCCCATCGGTGACCGTGGGGCCGACGGTGAGCGGCTGGCCGGCGGCAGACAGGGGGAACGACTGAACGGAGAAAGTGGCGGCCATGTACTGGGTCTTGCCGGCGTGGATCTTTCCGGCGGGGATGAACATGAAGCCGACCTGGGTGCCGGAGTAGAGGAGCTGAAGGGAGCTGTCGTAGTGGGTGAAGACGGCGCGGTTAGGGTTCTCGACGGAGACGTACTGAGAGAAGGTGAAGTTGACGGTGGCGTTGGCGGCGGAGAAGGTGGGGAGCTGGATGGCGTTGACGGTGATGGTGGGGTCCTTGGGCTTGAAGACGGTGAAGTAGACGATGAAGACGACGATGAGGAGGAAGATGAGGAAAATGGTGGCGACGATGCAAGAAGCTAAATTTGTGCGCCCACTCGGCGGCTTGTGATGATGAGGATGAGGAGGCTTCCCCATACTTGAGATCTGATCTGTAATTAACTTCTAACCTAAATTCTTGAATTTGATTTGATTTTTTTGTATGTATTTGAGTTGCAGGAGATGAGGGTTTGTGGGGGGAAAGAGAAGGAGGAAAATGATGGAAGACTGGAAGTAGACAGCAGAGGGAGGACTATGGGGAGTGACTAACATGGACAGAAGGGAAAAGATATTAAAGTGTGAAATAGAGACTTTTCTTTCACTAATTTTGTCTTTTGACCACCCCCCTCTCTTTTTTTTCTTTTTTTTTTCAAATTTCTTATGGTGTTTTCCCCATTTTTTTTGGTTGTATTGAAAGAGGTTAATTGTGAGTCTATGGGAGAAGAGATCAATATTCGAATCTCAGCAACAACAGTGTATGAATTATGCTCAAAGTGAATAAACTCCTGGTACGTACCAATACTTGGCCCTACCTGCTAAACCATTGAATCATCGTAATGTACATCATTTCAAATGTTCTGTCGGACCTAGTGTGGAGAGCCCTTAAAGTTGGAGATCTAACTTTTTGGGGAAGGTTAATTGTGAGTCATCCCGTTAATCTTATGTTCTAATCCTTGCCTATACAATATATGCATAAGGAGTCTATATATTCTAATCAGTCAAGATAATGACTTTTTTTAAAGTTTTCATTAAGATTCCGACCCTTGTTATGAGTGGAGACTAACTCCATTTTCCATAAACTTTATGTTCAAGCTTCACATAAATCATTAATTGATGGGCTTATATTTTTATTCAAGATCAGATGATAAAATTTTAAGTTCAAGCTTGAGATAAATAAATTATTAAGTTGAGAGTTATTGGGTGTTTGATTTATATTTTTATTCACGGTATAGAACATGAAATTTGTATTTAGACTTCCCAAGGGCCAAATGGTATGTAGGAGCATTACTTTAAGAATTGAAGAAAAGCAAAGTATATGCCAGGAATTTAGGAACATTACTTTAAAGTTTGTATATACCAAATTTTTGCTTTCTTGAATCTAATTGTATATGTTTGGTTGGACCAGACAAAGGTCTAACTTTATCCTCTTCTTTCTCATACACAATTAAAATATAAAAAATTTATCTAGTATGCACACGTAAGAAAGAGCATTCTAACAACGTCTTTTAGATCTTTAAAATGTAAAAATATATTTATACTAATTTAAACTTATATATATTTTTAATTTTAATATACCACAAAAGCTTTTTCAAAGCCTTTTAATTTCATTCTTTCCAATTTCAATTGAAACTCAATTTCTCATTCAATCATTATCTATTTTGATGGTATAAATATTAGACATAGCAATTCGTGTATACGGGTCTAATAACGGGTCAACACGAACACGATAAGGCTAAACACGGATATGACGCATTAAGATTAACGGGTTCAAATTTTTAACACGCACACGACGCACTAAGATTAACGGGTTCAAATTTTTAACACGGACACAACGCACTAAAATTAACGGGTTCAAATTTTTAACACAAACACAAATATAATTTGTTAACGAGTTAAATGGGTTGACACGATAGACACATTTTGTTAACGGGTTTTAGGTCGTGTCGAGACGATATGACTCCCGTTCAAACTCGCTAAACATATTAATATACTAGTTTTTTTTACGCGCTTTGCGCGAATGGGATAATGCCCAATAATTATTTTTAAATAAGTATTTCAAAATATATCAATGCAATATTATATAGGAGATGTTCATGCATAGGTAATAAATGTTGAATTTGTTTATTTAAATCGGTAATTTAAAGTATATAAATGCAATATAATATATGAGAGATTGATTATAATTGTCACTAAAATAAATGTTTGCAACTTTGTAATAACGCTAGTTTAAATACTTAGTCTTAAAACGATAGTCTAAATAAATACTACTTTTGGTTTAAATTTCTCTAATTCTTCTTAATTCTCTTTTGGGTAGCATTGTTATTGTTTTCATCTTCAGTACATGTCCTCTTTTTTTTTTTTTTTTTATTGGTAGTGTGTCATGTGCAATTAGGTTATGGTAGCAGCATAGAGGGATTATCATGCAATGAGATTATGGTGTAGGAAGTTTTAGATTTGTCTTGATGTGTATATGACTGAGATTTTAGTTGTAATATGAACTCTTTAGCGTACAAACACTTATTGATATTTAGTAGTGGTAGTTCTTTCCCTACATGTTTCATATTTTGTGAAATGTGTGTCGTAGGTTATCATGTGAAAGTATTGAACAAAATATAAATATTTATTATATTTGTATAAAATACTTGGTAAATAAATAAATAAATAAATATATATATATATATATATATATATATATATATATATATATATATATATATATATATATATATATATATATATATATATATATAAAACATGTTTTGTATTATAACTTTGATATTTAATTACAAGATAATGTAAAAAAGAAGACAATGAACAATGTAGTGAATATAATCTACTATCTATTATTATTATATTATATACTAATAAGAGCCCATGAGAGTTAGGCCTATAATGGGTAGAAAAAATGGCGGTCATAGATTTTAATCAAATTAATGGCTCAGATTGATTAAAAGATTGATAAGATTTAAATTTTACACTAAAATTTCCTAAAATACCCGCACACCGTTACTAATTCCGTTAAAATTTTAAGAATTGCCGTTAGTTCACCGTTAACTTACTCATTGATTTCAATTAAAAAAAAAAAAAAAAAGGTCTTAGGTTCGAACCTCATCCCAATCAAAGTTGGCATAATTAGTACTCTATTTTACTCTTATTAAATTATTATTACTAGTTTTTTACGCGCATTGCGCGATTGGGATAATGCTCAATGCTTTTTTTTAAATAAGTACTTTAAAGTATATTAAGGCAGGATTATATTGAAATTATTCATGCATAGATAATTGAAGGTTGAATTTGCGTATTTAAATAGGTAATTCTTCTCCCAAAGCCCAAAGGTTGAGTCCCCAACCCCAAAGGCCCCCCACACTCCGACCCGACAGAGCATTGTGGGAAGTTGTAAATCACGGTGACTCAATGGTTCAACAGACAGGGCCAAATGCTGATACGCACAAGGAATCTGCCCACTTTGGACATAATTCCCGCACTGCCGCCGCCGAGGTTCAAACCTTGGTCCCTTCTCCCAAATACTACCCACTAAACCATTGAGCTAAGCCCGTGCGGGTTAAATAGGTAATTCTAAGTTTACAAATGCAAGATAATATAGTCAAGATTGATTATAATTGTCAATAAAATAATTGTATAGGTATGGTTGAAACCAAATACGGGACATAAGGGAGAACAAATAAAAATTAGGGCATAAAATATTAAATATATACTAATATTGTTTGAGGAGATTCCGACATTAGGATTTGTGGTTAAGTTCTATTAAGACTTTAATATTAGAATTAGATTAATGGTGTAGTTATAATTCTATATTAGACTTTAATATTAGAATTGGACTAACGGTGAATTAACGGAAAAGTTAAATGGATAATCATATAATTAAGGATAAATTATAAAATCTTAAAAGAAAAAAATTAAAACCTGAACAATATGAACCATTCATTTGATTTAATAATTTGGCAGTCATTTTTTTTACCCAATGTTAATAATTAAATAAATTCGCTGGTCAAATCCGCTAACGCTAACCGCTAACTGTTGATTGTCAAACAAGGACATTGCGAGGTAGTTCTCACTTCAATTTGTTGTGTGATTTGAATACTCTCTTTGTCACAAAATCTCTCAAGTAGTTAATATGGTTGGCTTTATTAATTATATTTTTTAAATTTTTTCATGTTATTAATAAAATACTTGGTAAATAAATATATAGCATTATTTTGTATTATAACTTTGATATTTAATTAGAAAAATAGTGCACAAAAAAGATAATAGATAATGTAGTGAATATAATCAATTGATGAATTTGAATGTAAAAATTTTTACATTTGAGAAAAATAAAGACAATATAACTAATGAAAATATTTCTTTTAATTAATTTATTGATAATTAATAATTTTTTTTTTCACTGAATAAAGACATTGTAAAGATAATGTAGCGAATATAATCAATTAATAAATTTAAATATAAAGAATTTTTATATTGAAGAAAAATAAAGACAATATAACTAATAAAATTATTTCTCTTATTTAATTTATTGATAATGAATAATTTTTTTTTTAATAAAGGCATTGTGGACACATAATTCTAAATTAAAGAAATGCATATGTATTATTTTTTGTTGTAACTACTAAATTATTATTTATATAATTTAATAAGAGTAAAATAAAGTACTAATTATGCCAACTTTGATTGGGATTAGGTTCAAACCTAAGACCTTTTTTTATTGAAATCAATGAGTAAGTTAACAGTGAACTAACGGCAATTCTTAAAATTTTAACGGAATTAGTAACGATGTGTAGGTATTTTAGAAAATTTTAGTGTAAAATTTAAATCTGATCAATCTTTTAATCAATCTGAGCCATTCATTTGATTAAAATCTGTGACCGCCATTTTTTCTACCCATTATAGGCCTAACTCTCTTGGACTCTTATTAGTATATATATAGTATATAGTATATAGTAGATAGTAGATATAAATAATAAGTTAGTAGCTACAACAAAAAATTATAGATATACATTTCTTTAATTTAGAATTATGTGTCCACAATGCCTTTATTCAAAAAAAAAAAAAAAAATTCATTATCAATAAATTAAATAAGAGAAATAATTGTATTAGTTATATTGTCTTTATTTTTCTACAATATAAAAATTCTTTATATTCAAATTGAATTAATTTCACTTTTGGTCCCACGACTTTTGAGTTCTTATCACTTTTGGTGCACAACTTTGAATTTTTTCAATTTTGGTGCCTAACTTTGTTATTTTTATCAGTTTAGGTCCTTCTAGCCAAATTGACGGTAAAATATTTCCAGATTTTATATTTTAGGGGCAAAATCGTCATCCCATGGAAAGATCTTCAATATTTAAACAAAAGAAAAATCATATTAAGAGGAAAAGAAGAGTTTGCCAATGGTCGAAACTATAAATCCCATAGATCTGTCTGGTTTCTGCCCATCTTCCCCATTATTCTCATCATCAAACACCTATAGATATGATTTTACGGTGATCTTGTTTAGATATTGAAGATGTTTCCTTGGGATGAAGATTTTACCC